CATTGCTCGTAAATTTCCTTTAAGATGTGTCGTTCCCTACTCATACGTTGTGTTGCTGATCTTTCCTAAAATGGTTCTTTATTCAGGCGACAGTATCGGCTCAAGGGGTCGTCCGCATTTATGAGGCGGCAGATGTGATGGACCTGTCCAGGTGGTCTCTCTGTCATGAACTTCAGGTACATTTCAATCTACAGATTTTCTTTAATATATGGGGTTTGAGTCAGAGTTTCCGAATGACTTTAGTATGCAGAAGGAATTGCTTTAGTATGCCGAAACCAGACAATCGTACGCGCAACTCGGATCTTCTGACCCTGTCTAAGTACATTTTTTCCCAGATTTTTTCTAGCAGAACTTTTTCAACATCGGATCCAGGCCTATATTGTTAGTCTCAGACATCGCGTAGAGAGTGATAGAGTATTTTTAGCTGGTTTACTTGTCATAACCAGCCCTTCCACTTCTAATAGATAGGGTCTTGGTACGAATGACCTTGCTCGCAACAACTATATTGCCGTGACTTCGGATTAACCATATACGTCCCATCATATCCTTGCTCAAAAAAAGTTAAGGTTTGGTCAAGTCTTAACTGAAATGTGCTTGACACTGACAACTTAATAACAACAATTTCTAATTTGATTCTCCTTTTAAAAATTTTTAAGTGGCTCACTTAAAGTAACCTTGCATAAATTAAACATACGTTTCTGTGCGAAAGCGATGCAGTTGGTGTAAACTTGGCTATCTCTGCTATATTATTCTCCTTCCTGGCCGAATTACTGCCAATTTTTGCTTTCAAGGCATTCTACACAAGATGTGGTAGCGTGGAGTGGAGTCGATCCCGAATACATCGACCCCTCTTAGCAGTTGCTTCAGACGATAAACGTGCCGAAAACGACGAAAGGATAGTGATTTATGAGCACAATGAGAACTGTTAAGGATATGGTCGTTGAGTAGCCATTAAGTTGTTTTCCTGACTGCCAGGAAGATTGGTCGCGTCGAAGTAGCCGTTGAATAGAATGTACATTTCAAATGCGGTTGTGGTGAGCTAGGGGACCAAAGGCCATAGCATTCTGCTGGTTATTAGTATCGCCGAGTTCAGGAAACCTGTTGTGGGTTCATTTCCCTCACATCGCCGTGCATTTCGAAGTCTTTTCCAAATTACGTAGCCTATGAGGCCAAGGCGAGAGCGAAACATTCGTGTTCCGTCCATCCCACTAGTTTCCTTTTTATCAGGTTTCGTTCTCCTCTGAAAGTTTGAATGTTGAGGAAGTTTTGCTATCTGCATCGTTGTCCCGTTGCATGACTTGAGTTTCTACGTTTTTTCAAATAGCAAACTTCTACAGTCGCAAAGCTTCTCTTTTGCAGAAAGTGGCAACGTGTCGTTTCACTCCGACTTGATCTCGCATTCCCCGTTACCGATCTTCGATTTTCACCTATTGCCCTTGCTCATTCCCATCAGCTGGCAGTGGCAGCTGGAGACGTTCATGTCTACAACATCAAGGTACTTTATAATTATCTGATTTAATATTTAATTCATTGTTATCATTATTCTTATTCGAATAAGTGAACAAGTATCATTGTTGCTTGTTGTGTATTTGCTTCTGTTGCAGATACCCGTCTCAGCATTTGTCGATGATGACAACGGTACTCCGGAAAATGTTCCAACTGACGCTACGGAATACTCTGCGACAAAGGTTACATTCAAAGATCTCGAACAGATATTTCTTCAATTGTATCACTTGTTTTGTTGTTGGGAATTTTCTCAAGTTGGCTTCAACGTATCGACCAAATAAATAAAAAAGTCGACGCCTTCAGAGGATTACCAGCGAGTGGGTCGAATGTGGCCGCTGGAGGGATTGGGGTCCTCTGCTACGCTAGCCTAGATGGGAGAGTTTCCGGTTTTTGACCTTTCTCGGTTGTTTTTCTCGGCTTTTTCTGTTTTGGGTGCCTAGTGTAGTATCAAGGGAAAATCTTGAAGGGGCGAATTGTATTTTGCGAAAATTTCCTCCCACCTACAGGACGTGTCCTGTTCGGAGGTCGACATCTAAGCTCTAATCAGAAGGGTCCACCATCACAAGAACACGTTAGTTGTGTAAAAAGCGTTCTTTCACACCTTACTCACGATTGGCTACCAGTTAGGTGCTGGTTCAAAGTACTCTTTGTTCGGAACTGGGATCACTGTAACCGCCTAAAACTCCAGCGTGCAAACAGTTTCATTCACCCTTCCCACAATATCCATGCTGTATGTGTGGGACAACGCAAGCTTCTTCTCCTTCCATTTTCCTCTTCCTGTCTTTCCTTGTCTTCCTTCCCTTTCGCATTTCTTACATCTAAACCGCCCCCCCCTGAAGTGCTCTTCCAAATGGACAGAATACCTCTGGGCACTCTCAACATCCGGGCTTACGTAGAGCTGTGATGTCCACATACTGTTTTTCCATATAGCTTTTACTTAACATCTGAATCTGCAAGTTATCAAGATCAATATACCATCAGTTATGTACGAATGCCCTTCCAATGTCCTCCTTTTTGGCACTAGCAACTAAGCACAGTTTCGGTTTCATTTTGTCTTGGCGAGCGTTCCCATGAGGAGCCCAATTTTTCCCGAATTCATACAAAGTTGTAGGCGCCGTCCAAATTTTTTTCGTTACTCTTATGTCTTTAATGATGGGTAGTAGTGTCATTTTTGCTGTCAGGTATCTTTTTTTACTTTTAGGTAGCCGTTCTCGGAGATGAGCGTCACGCATGGGGTATCAGATATAATCTGTGACGGGTACGTGTTGACCGCGATCGCAGTTGGCGATGGGACGATCCGGGTGTGGAAAGGTTGCTAGGTTTTGGTTTTTGACCTTTGATGGCCGCGTTATCATGTTTCATTTCTCTCAGCGATGTTCGTAAACCAATGGGCACTGTTGGCTGAAATGTCGTCGGAAGACTATCTGGAAGAGCGTGAACTGCTGAATGAAGGTGACTTGTACTGGGGGTCCGAGAGTGGTCGAGGCGATGGAGAAATGTTCCATCGAAAGACCTACTATTGATCGGATTCACTTTTATTTTGGCTGTGGTCATTTGATCTGCTCCTATCGAATGGTTTTCTATGCTCCACGCACGTTCTTCTTTATTCGAGAACTCACTGCAACTGGTCAAACGTCTTTGCTCGCCTTTTTTGTTCACGATTATTTGATAATTCTGATTTCTAAATTTCTCAGTTCACTCACGTGTATCATAGATGCATCCTCATGTGCTTGCGCTGTTCTGCCTTTTTCTATGTCACCCGATATCCAGTGTAAAGTTATGGAAATTTCATAAAGTTTCTCATTGGATCCAGAGTTAAGGTGTTTGAAGCCGTTCGGGTCACCAAACTGCTATTTCGTGTCTCTTGTTTTGAATTTGTCTATTTATTTCTTGAACACTTCGTTTTATTATACTAACTTGACTTCATTATTTGATCGCTCTGGTCTTAAGGAGGCGAAATTGGTCCAAAGATTATTTTGTTTCACCCTTCGCCGGTATGCGATAAGAGGTAGCTATCACTCAGACTGCGTTCACTTTATCAGTGTCGTTTCGAAGGCGTGACGGCTGCGTTTAAAGCGTACGTTTGCGCTCTCTTTGAGTGTTTCTTAAATGGCTCGGGAAAGTATGGCGCATCGATTTAGCGTACGGCAAGCGTTTGCGCCGCGGCCGAAAAATAAGTATGAGATCGACTTTCTCTAGTCGCTTGTGTGCAGCGCCGGCCAGGGGCGTTTCAGGCAACTACCCACGAAAAGCTCAAAATGCCCGCCGCGAGAAGGTTCAATATATGTCTGGTCGAAGCGCTAGATCATTTCTATTCTTTCCTACTCGCTCAAAACGCTGTCGTACGCTCAAAACGCTCACGCAAAGTATGAACCCATTTAGGGGCAGCATCCCTGTCACTGAACTCTCGTCTACCGTTGGCACAGCTTTCTTTGTACTTTTTTTATACGAGGGTCATTTGGAAGTATCCTCATTATCTTGATAATCGGACTTCCAGTGGGCGCAAAAACGGCATCATTTATCTTTCATGTGACCCAGACTGATTCAGTGGATTCTGCCCACTCTAGGGACACGTACACACCATACCCTGAAAATAGAGAGGGTGTGGCTGCGCTCTTGGCATGGACTTGCGCGCCGACAAATGCTCTTTTAAAGGACAAGGTTGTTTTACGAGAGCTGCCAATTCATGGTCTTTGTCGGCATAAGGCAGGGTTGTTCCCTAAGGTATCCCACGCATTGTTCTCCATGCTCAGGTGAAGTAAGCAGCCACGCCTCCTGCACATTCCAGATATGGTAGTAGCCTCTCTCTCTCCTCCTCTCCCCCCCCCCCCCCGAGCCTCCATGAAGAAGTCTGACCTTTGGACTGGCGGTCTTCATCGTGTTCACCTGGGCTGTATGACAAGCACGGCACGCCATCGCGTTGTTATCATTTCCTGAGAAATACGACCCCGCCTTAATTCTATCCTTAAATAAGACCCCCGCTCCTCATGCTACTTACCACTTTCCTAGATTTACCCAACTTCCTACCACTTTTTTTCCGAAAAATTCCTAGTTTTCTCCCAATAATTTGCCCTGTCGACGCGGGGGAGTACACCGAATGTGATGAACTAGGGAAAATTTCTCAGATTTCCCCTAACCTCCTACCAATTTTTCGAAATTCCCTCCGGTTTTTCCGCAAAATTTTGCTGTTGAAAATTTTGCTGTTGAAAACTGGAGGGCGGGGGGGAGTCGTCAGGATTAACCTATCATTTTCAGTTATCAATGAATAGTAGTTGCACATGCTCTGCGCTTGGCAATCCCCTTCAAAAAACGGCCAAATACGACCTCCCCTTTTATGCCGTCCGTAAAACCAGCAAATCAACCACCAAAACATTTTTTCAGACCAAATGACACCGGCCCCCTCCCTTGCGGTCAAAATACGACCCCGACTAAGATAAATATAAAATCACAACAGTGTGCGTGCTCTTCCGCGTGACGAAAGAGAATCGTATATATGCCCATGCTCGTGCGAGCATCCGCAGCGTCCCAACAGACGAGTGTCCCTTTTGAATCTGAGTGTCACATGGTGCGAAAAAAATTTTTCTAATCGTGGTGCCATAGAGAGTCTGACACAACTATGCACATAGAGAATTCGCCGCGCGCGACGACGCAGCAAATTACGATAGTCTTGTCCATGCCCCGCTTGGCGTCTCATGGTATGTGGTTTGGATAGTCGGGTTTGGTAGGGTGTGAAACCCTACTTGAACAGTGTTCATCTATGTATCTCGTTCCATGTATCACTCTGAACAAAAAGCTTTTGCAAGGCGCATATCAAAGGGAACGATCAGAGCCGATCGCTTTTCCGTTACTCTTTACTCTTGTTGTATTTGTTTGGCCGCTCTTGCATTGTTGTTCATTTTTTTCTCCGAAAGCTCGAGAGGACAGTTGTGGTGTTTTCCGTCGCCATTTGTCATATGTGATTTATTGATTGGTTTCTCTGAAGGCATCTAGACACCAGTGGTTTGCTTTTAATTCTGACCACGTCCTTCCGGGTTTTTGGTCAGGATTTGGTAGTTTAATTGTACTTGAAATAGGATTACTGTAGTAGTCCTACTTATGTAGTCTGGGTTGGTTCGGGTCCATTCTTCCTTAGGAAAGAATAATCATGGTCTGAAGTACCTAACCTCATACGAACCGTGTTACTTTGTCAACCCTGGGACTCGTCAACAAAGCGACGTACGTTGGGGAATTCTCCCAGCGAGCGGGGATGAGGTGGTTTTTGTCGCGTAGGCAGGGTGGGCGGCCGTATTTCGTTTTTGGAGAAATGCTTTTCTCGCTTGTTCACTGTCCCTTGATTTTCGCTGTGTGCGTTGACGCTGATATCACCCCCGCTCGATGTAAATGTTTGAGAAATACTGTAGAATTCAAGGCGGGGGGGTCATTAGATCTGCTGGATCTTTCACGCAACGTGCAGAACGCCGCCCGGCCTCAACAACTCATTCTGACCCAGTGAACCTTCGAACGCAGAGAATAGCCATGGCAATGAGTGTATATTTCTTTCAGTCGCTATTCACTAGTAGCTGAGGCACGATCCACATCTCTCTTCTAGCACCGAGCTTGCCTGCAATTAACCCTAATCTTCTCAAGGTAGGGGGTGAGGGGACATGTGCCATTTACACCATAGCTAGTAAAACGACAATTCCACGATTCGAGCCAAAGTTGAGGGGAGGTTGCCAAACGGCTCACAATCTCTCCCTCTAGTGCGGAACCCTCTCTACCAGACCAAATACGCCGTACTCTCCAGAAGGACTGAAGTTCAACATCGTCCCCTTCCGTTTGGAAACTCTTCAACTTCGTGGGGGGTCTGCTTGAGTAGACAAGCTCTGTTCCGTGTCATATGTTAGGGCGCCGATCACCCCTCCCTCAAGAATTTCCCCTCTGACAGGATCCCCTCACCATTCTCGATCCTACCTACCTTCTTTATAAATTTTTTCCAACGTCCTACCACTTTTCCGGGACCTTTTTTTCGAAATCCCCATTTTTCCCAAGAAAATCAACTGCCGTCAAGGAGGGGTAGGGGAGACATAGCGCATATGAAAAAAACGAAATGAAACAAAGACATTTTTCTCGAAAGCATATACGACCTGTTTCCTTCCAGTGACCAGATACGACCCCCTCGCTGGGGACGGGCATCGATTGGACATAATTTGAAGCCCATGCTGATGTGTTCATTAGTTTGTTTTCGCTAGCTCTCTAGCCATCGGTTAGCGAGTTGTGCTTTTCTTCGCCTTAATACTTCATTATTCGCACCTTCGAACAACAAGTAAAGCTCGACCGGCTATCTAACGACCCGAATACTTTGACGATTTGATAGGAATCGATTGATGTAGCGGAAGCCATTCTTCGCTCATCCCATCTCTACTTTTTCCTTCGCGAACGGGAAAAATATTGCAATTTGGCATTTTGTTGACATTAATCGATTCCGTCTTGTTGTCTTTTATTTCTTACTCTTAATTTGTAGTTGTTGTTCCACACAACTCCTGATGTTTGCGGCATATGCCTTCTGGTGTACTGAATGAGCCACTGGTAATCCTAAGCATCTTTGCCGTAACCCTCCTTCTGAGTGGGTCATGACTGTTTTGCTGTCCTCCAAAGCAAGGACTGGAGCATGGAGCAGTAATTGCGCACAGGTCATGTCGTACACTGGGGATCGTATTTGGTCGCTGGTGGGGGGGATCCTCCCTTTGAGAAAAATGTTTTCTGTAGTTGAGTTTTCATTTTTTTTCTCGAATTGGAGAGTTGAAAATTTAGAAACATGGTAGGTAGATGGGGTGGGGAAGGCGTCATCCTAGAGGAGGAACTTTCGAG